AAAAAAAAATGATTTAACAATAGAAGATATTTTGAAACAACCTAGAGATATAAAAAATCATTAACTGAAAGATAATTATGAGATATTATTACAATATAGTATACAAATTAATTGTTCAAATGAATGTGTTTTTAACAAACATGAAATAGTAATGTGTAGAAAATTTTTAAAAGAAGAACAGAAAACATATGAAATATCTAATAATACAGGTAAAAATATAGTTTATGATACCACTAATTATAGATTGGTAATTGTGATTAATTATTAGGATTGGATGTATCAAGGATATTTTAGAGATATTAATATGGGTATAAATGATAAAATTAAGTTGGGAGATACATTTGGTGAACATGATTTGGGTTATCCAGTTTTTATTTCAGGTGAAAGTATTGAAATAGCATATCACCCAGATTTAACACAAGTTAATAGTATTTAAGCATTTTCTCAAATGGTTGCAGATCAAATAATGGATAAAATAAATTCTGTTAAGGGAGAAGAAGAGAAACTTTAATTTTTTAATAGAATATTTTATTTTATTTTATTTTTTTATTAATTTTATAATAAATATAAATACAAATATTTTTTTTTTTTTACAAGTAAAAACAAAATGATTAAATTACAAAATTACAAATGTGTTTATAATTTCAAAGATTATATTAATTGTTGTGCTAAAAAATATAAAGAACAAAATATTATAAAAATTAAAGAAGAAAAAATAAACGAATATTTAATGCTTATAATAATTAAAAAAGCAAGATCATCTGTTCCAATCTCAATTTCACAAAAACCAATTTTAATTCCTCAACCATCTGTTCCAATTTTAATTCCACCGAATATTATACCAGAAAAATCTAATGATATAAATGATAAAAATATATTTAATAGTATAAAAGAAGAAATAACAGATTCAATTAAAACAAATAATGATATAAAAGATCTTATAGATGATTTAATTTTAAAACAAGATGATAAAAATAAATTACATAATCTTAGAAAACAGAAGTTATATGAAAAAATATTTAATGAAA